AGAGCACGGGGCGCCTGCTCGGTGCCTGCAGCCTGGTCCCGGTTGTCGTAGGTGTGATGCTGAAGGCGCAGCCTCTGCAGAGGTGCGGGATGGAACCTTGGAGCTCGAGTTTTCCGTGAAGCAGAGAAGACTGTACTGCTTTGCCCGGCGAAGGGAGACACAGTGGTCACGGGCCCTGAAACACAGTGCGTCCCAACCCCCGGGGCTGTCAGTGAGGACTTACTGGGCTCAAGGGAGGAGTTAGGACCAGGGCATGTGTGCCCGGCCCTGTTCTTCAATCTGGCCTCATTGGCCTCCTGGCAATCTTGATTCCAGCTTGTGCTTAATACTCCTTTTAGAATACTACCACCAGCTACACCCCCCTTAAGGTCATCAACTTCACAGCCAGGTTTGTTGACATCAAAGGATCTAATACAATAAGTCTGGGTTCTGAAGTAAAGTCTCTTGGGGGTACTGGAATTTTCTTTACTAGGTACTCACAGACAACTTCAGTACTGTATTTTAGCTGAGCAGAAATTGGGATAATAGAAGCACCTTCTGCTACTGTACCTTGAACAAATTGCAAGGATCTGTTCATACTCTTCTTTAGCCTGGCTTTCTTTTACCAAATCAATTTTATTTTGTAGAATCAAAATATGCTTCAGTTTCATGATTTCTATAGCAGCCAAGTGTTCAGATGTCTGAGGCTGAGGACAAGACTTGTTACCAGCTATCAACAGAAGAGTGGCATCCATCACTGCAGCACTGTTCAGCATAGTAGCCCTCAGAATATCTGGCCAAGACAGTCAACAAAGGAAACATGCCTGACTAATTTGAAGTTCCCTTTGATCCCTGGAATGTCTGTAGGAAACTCATCAGGTGTCCTACTTCCACAGGATCTATAACATTCTGGCCGAGGACAACTTGGGTCATCAAGTTTATAAATCTTAGCATTAGCATAGCCAAGTTTGACTGTAATATTTCTTTCCAGTTCATTTTTTGAAATGGACAGTGTGGACTCCAGAAATAGCTTTTACAACTGTAGATTTCCCATGAGCTACGTGACCAATTGTACCTATATTAATTGTGGCTTGTCTGCTGATAACTTCATGTGAAAGTGGCGTCAACTTGGAAACATCCAAAGTAGCAAGATCTTGCCGAGAAAGGTGCGGCTGCCCTAGTCACACCAGCCTCGCCCCCTGCCATCTTGCCTGGAGAGCTAGTCCCTTAAATCTATTTTTCACTTCCACTGTATAAGGAATTTGATTTAGGTCATACCTGAATGGTCTAGTGGTTTTCCCTACTTTCTTCAGTTTAAGTCTGAATTTGGCAATAAGGAGTTCATGATCTGAGCCACAGTCAGCTCCCGGTCTTGTTTTTGCTGACTGTATAGGACTTCTCCATCTTTGGCTGCAAAGAATATAATCAATCTGATTTCGGTGTCGATCATCTGGTGATGTCCATGTATAGAGTCTTCTCTTGTGTTGTTGGAAGAGGGTGTTGACTATGACCAGTGCGTTCTCTTGGCAAAACTCTATTAGCCTTTGCCCTGCTTCATTCCATACTCCAAGGCCAAATTTGCCTGTTACTCCAGGTGTTTCTTGACTTCCTATTTTTGCATTCCAGTCCCCTAATAATGAAAAGGACATCTTTTTGGGGTGTTAGTTCTAAAAGGTCTTGTAGGTCTTCATAGAACCATTCAACTTCAGCTTCTTCAGCGTTACTGGTTGGGGCATAGGCTTGGATTACCATGATATTGAATGGTTTGCCTTGGAAACGAACAGAGAGCATTCTGTTGTTTTTGAGATTGCATCCAAGTACTGCATTTCAGACTCTTGTTGACCATGATGGCTACTCCATTTCTTCTAAGGGATTCCTGCCCACAGTAGTAGATATAATGGTCACCTGAGTTAAATTCACCCATTCCAGTCCATTTTAGTTCGCTGATTCCTAGAATGTCGACATTCACTCTTGCCATCTCCTGTTTGACCACTTCCAATTTGCCTTGATTCATGGACCTAACATTCCAGGTTCCTATGTAATATTGTGCTTTACAACATCAGACCTTGCTTATATCACCAGTCACATCCACAACTGGGTATTGTTTTTGCTTTGGCTCCATCCCTTCATTCTTTCTGGAGTTATTTCTCCACTGATCTCCATTAGCATATTGGGCACCTACCGACCTGGGGAGTTCCTCTTTCAGTATCCTATCAATTTGCCTTTTCCTCCTGTTCATGGGGTTCTCAAGGCAAGAATTCTGAAGTGGTTTGCCATTCCCTTCTCCAGTGGACCACATTCTGTCAGACCTCTCCACCATGACCTGACGTCTTGGGTGGCCCCACACGGCATGGCTTAGTTTCACTGAGTTAGACAAGGCTGTGGTTCTTTGATCAGACTGGCTAGTTTTCTGTGATTATGGTTTTAGTATGTCTGCCCTCTGATGCCCTGTTGCAACGCCTACCGTCTTACTTGGGTTTCTCTTACCTTGAACATGGGTATCTCTCCATGGCTGCTGCAGCAAAGTGCAGCCGCTGCTCCTCACCTTGGACGAGGGGTATCTTCTCACGGTTGCCGCTCCTAACCTTGAATGTGGAGTAGCTCCTCTCACCCCCCTGTGCCCACACAGCAGCCGCTCCTTGGAGGTGGCGTTGCTCCTCTCGGCTGCTGCCCCTAACCTTGGATGTGTGGTAGCTCCTCTTGGCCGCCACCCCTGACCTCAGACGTGGGGAATCCATCCGAATGATGATCTGGTCCCATCACTTCATGGCAAATAGATGGGGAAACAGTGGAAACAGTGTCAGGCTTTATTTTTTTGGGCTCCAAAATCACTGCAGATGGTGATTGCAGCCATGAAATTAAAAGACGGTTACTCCTTGGAAGGAAAGTTATGACCAACCTAGACAGCATATTAAAAAGCAGAGACATTACTTTACCAACAAAGGTCCGTCTAGTCAAGGCTATGGTTTTTCCAGTGGTCATGTATGGATGTGAGAGTGGGACCATAAAGAAAGCTGAGCGCCGAAAAATTGATGCTTTTGAACTGTGGTGTTGGAGAAGACTCTTGAGAGTCCCTTGCACTGCAAGGAGATCCAACCAGTCCATCCTAAAGGAGATCAGTCCTGGGTGTTCACTGGAAGGACTGATGATGAAGCTGAAACTCCAATACTTTGGCCACCTCATGCGAAGAGTTGACTCATTGGAAAAGACCCTGATGCTGGGAGGGATTGAGGGCAGGCAGGAGGAGAAGGAGACGACAGAGGATGAGATGACTGAATGGCATCACCGACTCGATGGACATGGGTTTGGGTAGACTCGGAGTTGGTGGACAGGGAGGCCTGGCATGCTGCGGTTCATGGGGTCGCAAAGAGTTGGACACGACTGAGCAGCTGAACTGAACTGAACGGAAAACACTTTACGTCAGTCTGTATAATCCAGATTAACAGAATCTGAGAGCTGCAAGAAAATAGTGTGCCAATTTCTGTACAATCTACAAAACTCCCACTGCTGATCAGGGACCAGGCACCACCAGGGAGAATGTTCAGGGCAGCGCAGGGTTGGTACAGTGTTCTGCAAATGGCACAAAAGGCCCCTCGGGAAACCAGGCTCGGTTCTGTTCAAAGCGCCTCTGAGAACTCTCCCTCTGCAGTCCCGCACATGGGGCCCAGGTCAGTGGCCCACAGCACCTGCCATTTTCCTCCGCAAACTGAGGGGCCTTGGCGGGCTTCTGTGCCTCTCCTGCCACCAGGCCAGGTCTGACCACCACCTTCCTCTCCCTCTCTGGCACCCCTGTTCCTAAAGCCCGCAGCCTGCGTGCACCTGGGAGGGCCAGGATGGACACATGTTCTGTCAGGGTCTCCCTCCCGATTCCAAACAAGCCCTCCACCCCCGGCACCCACCCCCACCAAACTGGGCCGGAAATAGTGCATATTCTAGACCACACAAGTGTGTGTGTGCAGGTATGAATGACTGTTTTGTCCCAAGAGTTAAAGTCATGCAGAGTCATGCTATTCTGTCTGAATAACTTATAGGACGGCTTCAGGTTGGGAGGAGCTGTGGGCTCTGCAGTGCAGGCAGCCGCCTGGGTCGGTAAGATTCACAGGACAGAGCCCGGCAGCCATGAGGCAGGACGTCCTCCTAGAGATTCGGGAGAGGGCGTTACGAGGGAGCTGGCCCTGGGGGAGAGGGGACCCCACGGCCACCTCCACCCAGCTCTCCTGGAGGGCCCTGGCCACCGCTGTATAGCACGTTGCTGTGGCAACCACACCTGGATGATGACACCAGTCAGCAAAGCCTGGCAGAGGAGGGGCAGGTACCAAAGACAAGAGAGGTGATCCGATGTAGAAGCAAAGCTGGATTGGGGGAAGCTGGGGCAAGGGGGACAGTCAGGCTCCAGAGAGCAGGGCGGGGCCGGGTGGGAGGCTGCCGGCCGGTATGCTGCAGCTGGGCCACACCCTCAGCACACTGGGAGCTCAGCGCCCTTGGGGGGCGGTGCAGCAGACCAGCCCGGGGGGCTGACAGCTGCGCGGCCGCCTGCTGCCGGCCGGCCGGGGTCTGCTGGGCAGGGCCTCACCCCAGAGGCTCTCACACACTTAGTTTTTTAACAGTCATTGATCACCAGCCACTCTGTTGCGGTTGCATTTTCTTGGGCCTAAACTCACTATTCTACATAACACATCCATGTCAGCAAACTCCCAGGTCTCCTAAGAGTTGTCTCCAGAGGAAGATGTAGACCCTTTCTGTCTCACAGTGGCGGTGTATTTAACCTCCTGAGTCCACCTCTGATCTGTGATCTTTAGAGGCTCAATTCTGCTAAGCAGACCATTCTCAACCTATCCCCAAGTCTTTAGTCCTCAGAACAATCCCACTGATTGTTCCTGGGTATGTCCCCCACACACTTTTCTACAGGTTACCCTGTCTCACCTGAGTCAACACGCACTTCACCAGCATTTCTTTCTTTCAGGTTGTTGGTGTGTAGTGAGGATAAGGAAGCATCTGAGCAGAGCATTTCTGCCGATGTAATGCCACAGGACAGGACCCTCAAAGCAGGTCTGTTTCCCCAGAAGGCACACTTGTGTGAGGTGTGTGGGCCCATGTTGAGAGACAGTTTGCACTTGGTTGAACACCAAGAAACACAGCACAGGCAGAAACTGCACATGTATAGGGCATATGGAAATCGATTTCATCTCACTGCAAACCTTTTATCAGCAGCACAAGCAGCATGTTGGAGAGAAACACTGCAGAAACAACATCAACAGAGCCTTGTTTTTGAAGAGCTGCAAATTCCAAGTGTCAGGGAACTCTTTTACCTTTCAGGAGGTCGTGAAGGACTTCCTGGGCAGCTCAGGACATCTTCAGCAGCAGGCCCCTCACACCAGGGAGAAGCCAAACAGCAGAGCAGAGTGTGCGGTGGCCTTCCACACTGTAAAAAATCACTGACTCGAGCACGTGAAAGCTTGGAGCCCCAAACACAGACTTGTTCAGCACCAGGGAGTCCTCACGAGGGAAAAGTCTTATATGTGCAGTTAAAAAGAACTCTACCTTCAAGGAGTATTTGAGAGTTCACACCAGAGAAAAGCCTTATGTGTGTAGGGAATGTGGAAAATCCTTTAGACAAAGCTCTGGCCTCTTTCAACCCCAGGAAGTTCACACTGGAGTAAGACCTCGTGAGTGTGATGAATGTAGAAATTATTTAGCAATCATTATGCATCAAAAAGTTCCTACTGGTTAAAAGCCATATGATTGCAGTGAATGTGGGAAATTCTTTAGCTATAAGTCTGACCTCATTACTCACCAGAGAATTCTTACTAGAACAAGGCCTTATGAATGCACGGAATGTGGGAAGTCTTTTAGCCAGAGCTCTCATGTCATTAAACGGCAAAGAGTTCACACTGAAGAAAGGCCTTATGAGTGCAGTGAATGGGAAATTCTTTATTTCCTTCACCCACCTGTTCCAACACCACAGAGTTCACACTTGTTTAAGGTCTCATGTGATGAATGTGGAAAATAGTTTACCAACTCATCCAACCTCATTAAACACCAGAGAGTTCACATTGGAGAAAGGCTACTTGAGTGTAGTCAATATGGAAAATCCTTTAGCTGCCTCATTTCACACTGTAGAATTCACATGGGGCAAAGCCTTATGATTGTGGGCAATGTGGGAAATCATTTAGCTATAGCTTGACACTCTTTCAGCACTGGAGAATTCACACTAGAGAAAGGCCTTATGAGTGCAGTGACTGCAGGAGGTCTGTTAGCCACAGCTCTAGTTTCATTAGACACCAAAGAAGTCACACTGGAGAAAGGACTTATGAGTGTAGTGAGTGTCAGATCCTTCAGTGACAGTTCTAACCTCATTAAGCATCAATGAGGTCACACTGGAGAAAGGCCTTATGGATGTAGTGAATGTGGGAAGTCTTTTAGCTAGAGCTCTAACCTCATTAATCACCGGAAAGTTCACGTTAGAGAAAGACCTTAGAGGTTAGCGAATGGAAGTCCTTTACCTTTAACCCTAGTCTGCTAAAGTACCAGAATGTACAAGGAATAAAGACAATTATATAATATTGATGAGTTTGTTATAGACTGAATTGTGTCCCTGAAAATTTGTGACTTCAGGCACTAATACCCAATGGAAATTTTTAGGTGTCACCTATAAGGAGATGGATGATTAAGGACAAATTAGGTCACAAGGATGGCCTCTTAGTGTGACTTGTATCCTAAATAAGAAGACCATACACCAGAAGGTGCTCACTTGCTCTCTGTAGTTTTGAACAGAGGAAAGGCCATTTAATAACACAGCAATCCTGATGGCACCTTGGCCTTAGACTTCCAACCTCTAGAAATATGAGAATGTACACCCCTTGAAGCCACATAGTCAAGGGTTTTGTTGTGGCAACCTGAGAAGAGAGATGCAGAGAAGGTACCGCATTATATTCTGTCAACTCCGTAATGCTACAGTAGACATGGATAATTTCAAGAACATATGTATAATAGTAAAGTGTAGTAAATTAGAAAGTTACCAATTTTAAGAGTTGTTTGAAAAAAAAACAGCTTTATTGAAGTACAATCAGTTGTCATTCACAATAGTCATTTTCTGTAATTCACTGAGTTAATCGATGCACAACCGATGTTTCTAGGGGAAATAACAGAATTAATTTCCTGAGAGCCTCTGGTCACAGAATTATCCACCAGTCAGTAAATAACATTGTTTTCCTGTTTTTTTTTTTTAATAAGCAACTCATTTACTATATACTGTTGATTTGTTAACATTGAAATCATGGCCAACAACACTGGTTCATGACTGAACAATGCTAACCTATTATGTATTTTCTTTAAGGCACATTCTTTGTGCTTAGGAACATTAGGTGGCATGTAGGCACCAGATTTGGAGGCTTGTTTGGACCACAAAATCACCAAGAAAAAGCATAAACGGGGTACCAAAGACATCATGGGACGAATGCTTATTTCCAGTATGAGAGCTGAAATGAGGAGGAGAGCATCGCTGGGTGACTCAGACTTTTTGTGTGTCTGTACATCTGTGAGAGGCCTCCCCTGTGGCTGAGTGATAAGAATTTGCTGGCGATGGCAAAAGACATGGGTTCAATCTTGGATCAGGAAGATCCCCTGGAGAAGGAAATGGCAACCGACTCCAGTATTGTTGCCTGGGAAATCCCATGGACAGAGGTGCCTGGTGGGCTACAGTTGATGGAGTCACAAAGAGTCAGACACAGCTGAGCAACTAAACAATGAAATATCTGTGAACGAATGTAAAAATGTAAGTATTGATTTGGGGGGTTTCCACAGTTTTGGCAAGTAGGCAAGTTTACAAATACTGAATCTGTGAAAAGATGAGGATTAACTAATTGTATTACCATAAATTATGCATATTTAAAGACATACTCAGGCTGAAACTTGAGGACTCACCAAGATTTTGTGAGGATTTTGCCAGAGTCTCGGGTATTTCATTTGGCCGAGTGCATGTGATCAGGGGCAAATTCAGTCCTTTGTGGAAGTCACCAGACCTGGGGTGGGTTGTCAGTGTCGCTGGGCTTTGGGTGACGGTTGGATGAACGGAGGAAGGTTGTAATTTCCGAGGGCACAGCAAGTATAGGAAAGCAGGACCGGGGATCTGAGGTCACACTCGGCTCTCTGTGACTGAGCACACAGAGTGATTCGAGGCTGCCGTCGCTCAAGGGAACCATGGGAAGTCTGTGCTCGTCCTGGCTCCTGTGAGACTTGTTAGTGGTGTTCTGGCTGCTGTCTGCCAAGTTGTAAGTTTTCAGATGAAGGCTGATAGAAATGGTGCCCTGACATCTGCTGAAACAAGGATGCCCTCCAGTGGCTGTAGTGCGTTTTCCTCCACAGTCTTCTCACAGGTAATATCTCCTACCCTTACAACCCTTTTCATCAAAGGGAACAGGCGCAGCTCCTGCTTGTCTGTTCGTAGTGAGTTTTGGCTCCCTACAAACATGCAGAGTCATTTAAACAAGCCAGTCTCGTCCTCCGGGAAGCGGGGCATCCAACCCTGTTGATCCCACAAAGACTGCATCCCACACCCTGTGGTCGGTCACTCCCCAGAGGGCAGCCTGCTGGTGGCCTTGTGTGCAGTCTCCCACATGTTAACATGGGCTCAGTAAGTGGCTGGTGGTTGCATCCGGCCACTGCCAGGGGTCACGTGTCTGGTCATGTGCTGAGGGAATTGCACTGTCACCAGTGGGGTTGCGAGCAAGCGACTGAAACACCAGTGCCGGGAGGGCAGTGAGACGTCAGTGGGCGGGGGGATGGGTCATGGTGGTCCTGGGTGCGGGGCCTGGCGCACCTCTGCTGATCTGCCTTGAGGGCTACCTGGCTGTGGCCATACCGCTGTGCTGTCCTATGGAAGTGGCACTCCCTCCTCTCTCCACCCAGAGTTTAGATGCTTCCTGCTGCTGAGGGCTTTACGCAGCGAGGAGACCGGGGCACCGGACCTGGTTTTCCTCTGCGTTGAGGAGCATGGGAAGAGGATGGGGTCGATGTTGGGGGCGGGGTGGAGAGTGGATCGTGGCTGTGTGGGAGTGTGGCTTTTGTGGTTTCGTCTGTCACCATCAGAGCAGGATGGCATGAGCTTTGAAGATGTGGCCATATATTTTTCCCAGAGGAGTGTGGTCTCCTTGAGAGGCTCAGGGATGCTGGTCCTGTGATGTGATGCTGGAGAACTTGGCACTCCTGCCTCCCTGGGCGAGAACTTCGGGTCCGCTGTGTCTCCCCCTTCCCCAGTGGCAGCAAGTTGCTCACGTCAGCCACAAGGGAAGGCACAGGGCCTCCGCTTCATTTACTGCTCCCAGGTCTGTGTGCGTCTCCTATCCCCCGTTTGGCCTAAGAGCTGGCAGAAGTGGGTGCGGCATGGAGGCCCTGGCACGCTGGTCAGCATGAGCCTGCGCTTTGGTCCGGGTGCTTTCCTCTCTTTGAGTACAGCAGGTAGGACTACTGGGACATCCTTCCAGGTTAAATCAGAGGCCAGAGTCAGGCCTAAAAGCTTTCAGCAGATTTACTAGGTTCCTTAGAAGATCAGCTTAATCTATGTGTTGGGCTCTGTTGGTTAGAGAGAAGGGCACATATGCTCTGATCGTCCTTTGCCATTTGTCACCTTCCCTGACCCTGGACGAGAGGAAGCTCCCCTACTAGGGAGGGACTAGCTTGCCCTCCTTGGGTAATGGAGGGTATGAAAGTTTCCAGGGAAGTAGGATTTGGGGTCAGTCGGAGGGGTCCGGAGGAATAGGTGGCTCTGGAAAGGCTGCTGGCTCCTGAGGAGCAGGGGAGGCCGGTTTCCCCATTGAGGGTTGGGGGAGGTTAGAAGGGGATCACCTTAGATGTCAGGAGTGTTTTCTGATTCCCCAGGGCTCTAATTACAAAAGCCACGTAGGGAGAAAAAAAAAAAAAAGCCACATAGGGTGGGACTTGGGGAAAGGAGCTTGAAGACTTGAACACAGGGAACCTCGGTGCATTTTCGCCTCCTGTGATGGTAAAGACCCAATTGCAAGGTGATATTGTAATTTAGAGACCCATTTTCAGGCCATTTCCTCTCCATCCTCCCAGCTTCCATAAAGGACAGGCACTGTTACAATAAACTTTAAGTGTTTCCTTTCTTAGCCCAACTATTTTTAAGAACTTCCAGTTCTTAAGGATACACTCCAGAGGTGTTTCTTCTGGCTTAGAAGGGGATCCTCCCATATTGAACGACCTGCAACTGGACTTCAGTAGAAATGGAATCCAGCGTCCGGGAAACATTTACCAGGAGGCTTTAACCTGAAGGGGTCAGAGCATTGTCTGAACTCCCTTTGAACCTAATGGGTTTTTAAATTTTATTTATTTATTTGTTTTTGGTTGCGCTTGGTCTTTGTTGCTGTGCGAGGGTTTTTCTGTAGTTGCAGAGAGTGAAGGCTTCTCCTTAGCTGTGGTGTGCAGGCTTCTCGTTGTAGCGCCTTCTCTTTTTGGGGAGCACACTGGGGTACGTGGGCTTCTGTAGTTGTGGCATGCAGCCCCTGTATTTGAGGCACATGGGCTTAGTTGCTCCGCAGCATGTGGAATCTTCCCGGACCAGGGATCGAACCTGTGTTTCCTGCATTGGCTGGTGGATTCTTAACCACAGGAACACCTGGGAAGTACCCCCAGTGGGATTTTGAGCATCCTCTACTCTCCCGTTGCCTAACCAGATGTCTCTGGTTGACCCAGACCTTTCACACGGGTCCCCAGTGGGTGGGGACAGGGACATTTGCAAACTGTCTGGGCATTGCCAGGACTGTCCCTGAGGGGAATCTGTTGTGCAAAAAGCGTAGAGCCAACAGCAAGTTTCCCTACCCTGGGGTGTATTCCTTGCGATTGAGCATCTATAAAGATTATAACATGGGCAGCGGCCAGTCCAGGAGACTGGAGTGAAAGGCACTCAATTGATGCAGAGAGGAACCCCTGGAGAAAGTAGAGTTAGGCACTCTGAAAGGCAGCATGGGGTTCAAGACCTGAAGGCCAGGAAATGAAGAAGTTCTTTAGATTTCTTGGACACTGTGTGAGGTGAGAGACTAGACAGCAGGAGACGCCCTGAATCCTTTCCCCTGTTTGGCGGCTGTGATAAAATTGGGGAGAGCCTCATGATTCCTTCTGACACAAGCAGCTGCAAGTTTGGACAGTGATTCCCATGCGGTGTAACCCTCCCAATGACCCTAATTAGTTTGGGATCTCTCTTTGAGATGCTCCAGGGCCCTTTGAAGCACCCCAAAGTCAGCTGGAGTTCAGAAGAACTTTAAATAGAATCTGATATTTGGGAAGTCTGTCCAATGTTTTTTAAAAAGTTTTAAAACACCCGGTCAGAGAGAATCATACCCAAGAGATTGAAAGCAGGGCCTGGAACAGATGTGGGTACACATCCACATTGTGAGCACCGTGAATCGGAACAATACCAAGTGGCGGGGGCCACCCGAGTGTTTGTCGATGGATGAGTGGATGGACCACGTGTGTCTACACACAAAGGAGTGCCATTTAGCCTTCACAAGTAAGGAAATGCTGGTGCTCGCTGTAGCATACACAAACCTCAAAGGCATGCTCAGTGAAATAGCCCTGTCACAAGAGGACAAACATGGTAGGTCTCCACGCACCGGAGGCATCCAGAGAGGTGCAGTTCAAAGGCACAAAGTAGACAGAGTATAGCATTTCACCAGTGAAAATGGAGAAGATTTGGACATGGATGCTGAGGATGTTTATACAACAATGTGCATGTGGTTGATCCCATAGGACTGTGCACATAAAATGGTTCAGATGGGAAGTGCAATGTCTGTTTAGTCACAATGAATGAAGCACTGATCCCTGTTACCTTAAGAAAGGGCCACCCAGCTCGCTTATCTGGTGCACTTTCAGTCCATCAGGGTTGTGACAAGGAGGGCAAGTATCTGTTTATGGTCCCAGAGAAAGAAACACAGCTCAGAATGGGAAAGACATTTCTCTAGAATCAGGGCAACTGGTGGAAGTGGACATGGGCCTGTGGATTGGATTATAATGTACAAACCAAAATAAAGCCCTCCGTTGGAGGTCACATGCCACTTCCCTGGCAGAGGGTTTCTACTTTGTGTAAAACAGGGCTGAATTCTGTGTGAGATGGCAAATGGGAGCCCATTCTACTGCTGTGGACAATTTTCTAGAGTTCGGAAGTTACCTACGTTTCTTTTCAAAACAACCATGTCAACGAAGAGCCGGAAATTAGAGAAGACATCAAAACTTGTTTCAAAGGCCAAGCCCCACCCAGGCCGCTCCCCCAAAGTGATACGCAGTTTACCACTGTAGAATGGTGTAGGTTCGAAGGGCATGGTGTGTCTTGATGTTCTGGATGACCTGGCTGTTCTAGAAACAGTGGTGTTCTAATTGTAGTTTTCAATGTGCAACTACCAAAAAACACCAGTAGTATGTGAAGCTGCATGACACAGAAATCAGGACACAAATATCAGTTGTGTTCCTACACACTAATTAACATCAGAGAGAAAGAAAACCATCTCACAGTAAGGTCAAGAGGACTTAAGGCCTGGGGATAAATGCAACCCAAGAAGTAAATGACTTGTCCGGAGAGGACAGAGGGAGGGCCTCTCCTGCTGGCTCGGGGAGGTCAGCTCGCATCCGATGGCTGTGCCGTGCCATATGTGCCTCACTGCTCACTTTGGGCTGGTCGGTGCTGATGCAGACTCTGGCTTTTGTGAATTGCCTAAGTGGGGTGGGGGAAGGGGTGATCAGGGGCTGGTGGTGGCAGAGTTGAGGAGAGCTGGAAAACCACCCTCCTCGTGACCTAAAGCTCCCTCCCCTGAGGGGCCCTGCACCACCACTGCCCGCCACGTGGTCCTTACTGAGCGAGGCTCCCCTTCTGGGGCCTGGCGTTTTGGAGGGGGAGGGTGGACACCACGTGACTAGCCCCACTTGGGGGTCAAGTCTCTAATGAGTTTTCCTGGGAAACTACCCTCCGTCACTGGGAGGGGAGATGTTCTGAGACCCTTGAGGAAAGGAGGGGTCACGAGGAAGCTGGAGGAGCCCCCCCAAACACACCGTTCCTCCCTACTGCACAACCTAACCCGTCCTAGCCTCGCGCACAGCGTGTGCTGAGTCTGGTGAGCCTCCTAGAAGGTCGCCGAGAATGAGGATGGCCCAGTGGGCCCACACTTCCTTCCATGTCTGGCAGGTGGAAGAACCACCTCTTGCCATTCTGGAAGCACATCTCAGGTTTTGGGGACTGAGCCCCTGTCCCCCAATTCTGCTCAACAACCACCAGAACAACCTGCTACCCTGTTGCCTGCACACACGCCCCCCCCCCCCCCCCCAGTACTCAGCAAAGAATTCAGGGGTGTCTACAGCACCGTCTGCTGGCAGGTCTCCATCTGCGGATGCCTCCCCCGGCCCCGAGAGTCAGCATCACCCCACCTTTCCTCACCTTTCTCTCCCACGGAGTCCCTCCCAGAAGGTCCTGAGGAAACCTAGCCACCCTCTGCGTGGACAAATAATGCCTGTCAGCTGCGCCCTGGGCCAAGCCTGTGACCAGAACACACAGGTCTGCCCTGGGAAGAGAGGCGGCTTGTCGCCCTCTGCGGGCCAACTGGGAGAATGCAGGCCGCGCCCGCTCCCACTGCAGCGCAGGCCGAGGTCTCTCCTGTCCATCCTGCTCAAGGCACAGCACTCTGGAAATAAACCGGTTCAGGCCACTATCCCAGGACTTATGCAACCCCAACTACAGAGCAATTAGGAACCACAGAAGAAATGCAGGAACAGACCTTACCACTCAAACCAAAAGACACTCCAAGCTGTCTAAAGGCAAATTTAAAATATAAAACTTTAAAAATTATAGAAGAAAATCGACTGTGGCTTTTTTCATGTAGATCACAAGCTTTCATTTCTAACATATCACATGAAAATCCACAGGAGAGGGGAAAAAATAACAACTTTTCTAAAATTGAAAATTGTCCTGGTGAAATAACTTATCCAGAAAGTCAGAAGCCAGGCCAGAAATGAAGAAAAATACTTGCAAAATACATATGTGATAAAGAACTTGTACTTGCATAATATAAAGTGCTATGAAACAAGCAGCTACATTAAAAACGGGTACCAGGGCAGCTTATTTAACTAATATGCAGGGTACATCATGTAAAATGCTGGGCTGGATGAAATTCAAGCCGGAATCAAGATTGCCAGAAGAAAATAACCTCATAAGCAGATGACACCACCCTATGGCAGAAAGCAAAGAGGAACTAAAGAGCCTCTTGATGAAGGTAAAAGAGGAGAGTTAAAATGCTGGCTTAAAACTCAGCATTCAGAAAGTTAAGATCATGTCATCTGGTCCCATCACTTCATGGCAAATAGACGGGGAAACATTGACACTTTGTTTTCTTGAGCTCCAAAATCACCACGGATGGTGACTGCAGACATGACTTAAAAGATGCTTGCTCCTTGGAAGAAAAGCTATGACTAACCTAGACAACCTATTAAAAAGCAGAGACATCTGCTGACAAAGGTTGGTATAGTCAAAGCTGTGGCTTTTCCAGCAGTCATGTATGGATGTGAGAGTTGGGCCACAAGGAAGGCTGAATTGGTGCTTTCACACTGCGGTGCTGGTTTAGAAAAACAAAAAACAAAAAAACTGTGGTGCTGAAGAAGACTGTTGAGAGTCCCTTGGACTGCAAGGAGATCCAACCAGTCCATCCTAAAGGAAATCAGTCCTGAATGTTCATTGGAAGGACTGATGCTGAAGCTCCAATATTTTGGCCACCTGATGCGAGGAGCTGACTCATTTGAAAGGACCCTGATGCTGGGAAAGATTGAAGGCAGGAGGAGAAGGGGACGACAGAGGATGAGATGGTTGGATGGCATCACCGACTCAATGGAGATGAGTTTGAGCAAGCTCCGGGAGTTGGTGAGGGACAGGGAGGCCTGGCGTGCTGCAGTCCAGGGGGTCGCACAGTTGGACATGACTGAGCGACTGAACAGCAGCCAGTGCCACCGCCATCGCCTCCTCTGGGCCGCCTTGCTCTGGATGTACCCAGGCGGCTTCGGGAGCCCAGTGTCTCCTGGCTCTCACCTCACCCCAGCGCTGCCCGGGGCTGTTCATCAGAAACTGTGCTGGTCGCAAAGAGAAGATGCTCCTTCCCCACGGCCCCAGGGCAAGGGGCACTTTTAAACAGGCACTTCCAGGATGTGAAGCCACCTGGGCAGGTGCCTTCCAGAACCCGAGACTCGCCTGGGCAGCCCATGGGGCTTATCTGGCCTCCCCACACCAGGCCTCCACATCTCCCCTCCTCTCCCTCACTCCTGTGCTCCTCTCCAAGGGAGAGGTCTTGTCTTTTCTTGAGATTCATTGATTTATTTTACTTTCTGGCTGTGGTAGGTCTTTATCACTGCACACAAGCCTCCTCTCTGGTTGTCGGGAGTGGGGGCTCCTCTTCGCTGAGGTCAGTGGGCTTCCCATCACGGCGCCTTCTCCTGCCTGGAGTACAGGCTCCAGACGGGCTGACTTCAGCAGTTGCAGCGCGTGGGTCCCAGAGCACAGGCTCAGCAGCTGGGGTGCAGCCTCACTCTCTCCAAGGCATGTGGAATCGTCCTGGACCAGCGATCGCCAGAGATCAAACCGGTGTCCCTTGCTTTACAAGGCGGATTAATAACCACTGGACCACCAGGGACGCCCAGCAGGTCTTCTTGAAATTGTCTCTCACTTGTAGGCCAGTTAAAATACTTAGAAGACAGACCAGAGCTGCAGCCCCACATCCATCCTGACCCTCAGGACATGGCTGGTCCTTGGACCTGGGACAGCAGGGCCCATTTTCTGTAACTGAGCCCCTGGTGGGCGAGGATTGGCTGACCCGAGCAGCGTGACCCGGCTGGCCAGCCCTCCCCGGGAGTCCCTGCTTGAGGCCCTGCTTCCAGGCAGGAGGGCGCCTGCAGCAGTACCAGACGCCCCCTTCTCTGCTATCAGAGGGGCTGTGGCGTGTCGGGGTCCGGCCTGCGTGGGGCTCTGCTGGGCCTTCTGCAGGAGATGCTAGGCTGCCGCTCGAAAAGGAAGAGCCTGTGTCGCTGGTACCTGCTGCTGGAAGTCTTCCCAGGCAGAGGTGAGGAAGCGAAAACACAGGCAGTGGGAGCAGAACAGAGTAACTTAGATAAGGAAGATGGAAAGCTTCCAGAAGAGCCCCGCGGTCAGCACCATCCCGCCTGGCCTGCAGCCCCGCGGTCAGCACCATCCCGCCTGGCCTGCAGCCCCGCGGTCAGCACCATCCCGCCTGGCCTGCAGCCCCGCGGTCAGCACCATCCCGCCTGGCCTGCAGCCCCGCGGTCAGCACCATCCCGCCTGGCCTGCAGCCCGGGGTCAGCACCATCCCGCCTGGCCTGCACCCCACGGTTATCATCATCCCGCCTGGCCTGCAGCCCGGGGTCGGCAAGTGTGTTGTCGCTGGGGTGGCTCCAGGCCCCTCCCTCCAGCCTGTGGGGTCTTTGCTCATATTCAGGAGTCTTGGCTGGGAAGGCTGGAGGAGGCTCAGGAACAACCAGCGTGGGGGTCAGCCAGCGTTTATTTAGAGAGGCCTCCGTGGGGTCCCCCAGCTTCCCATTGTGGACCTTCGGTGGGAGTTGGGTGATGGGGTGAGTGGGAGGGTGGCAGGGCTGCTGGCTGCGTGTCAGTCCTCAGCCTTGGCCACTTTCAGAATTGTCCATCTGTGTAGCAGGTGTCCTGATTGAGTTTCACCTGTGTAACTGGTGGGTTGTTAATTAGCAATGTGACCGTTGCCATTAAATGTCCTCCTCAGTCAGGGCTGAGATGTTACACCACGTGTACCAGTGTAAGAACCTGGGGAGGCATGTGCAGCTGGTACCCCTAGGGACAGGCTTCAGACTTGACCCCTCAACATTCTGGGGTCCAGCCACTGCTTCAGGATTTGGGGGGAGCCCAGGGCTGACTCCAAGGGTTCTGTAATCCACCCACCATCTGCCTTTACTGAGACCCACACTTCTAGGATCCTACAGAGCAGGGTCTGTGTGGCTGCTGTGTGGCTTCTCTAACAAATGATCATAAGCTGGGTGGATTAAAACAACTGGAGTTCATCCTCCCCCAGTCCTGGAGACCAGACACCTGAGATCAACGTGGCGCGGGGCTGAGGTCCCTCCAGAGGCTCCAGGATGAGGTCCTTCCTTTCCCAGCTTCTGGGGCTCCAGGGGTCCCTGGGCTTGTGGCCCCCTCCCTCCCATCTGTGCCTCCGTCTTCACATGGCTTCTCCTCTGTGTCTTTCCTCATTTGTCTCATAAGGAGCCGGTCAATTGGATTGAGGGCCACCTTAACCGGAGATGACCTCACCTTGAGATCCTTAACTACATCTACAGAGATGTTTTCCCCAGACACGGCCCTGTTTACATGTTCTGGGGGGACTCAGCTTTTGGGGCCACAATTCAGCCCATTATTTGTGTATAAAATAACCCTCATTTTAGGAGATCACCACAGTCCTGTGTAGGCCAGCACAGACAGCAGCCAGGTGGGTGGGCATCTGGGGAGAATGAGGACCCCAGAATCGCCTGGAAAGATCAAGACCTGGCTTCATCGAAAGGTGAGCTCTCCCACCGCAGGGCTCGTGAAAACAGCCACCCGATCCTGTCCACGGAAAGGGGCCCGGTGTTGAGCCCAGCAGGGCTTACCTTGCAAAGCTGGCTCTCCTGGGTGGCACCATCAAAACCATTGGGTAGCCTCTGGCTGATGATTATGAGACCTCGTGTGTCTGCCCCTTCCCATCCCCCAGAGGAGCCTGGCTCCCGATCTGCCCCTTGTGGGGCTTCTGTCTGGTTACATGTGCACAGGTTTTGGCGTTGTTAGCTACTGCAGCCCGGAAGGAATCCTGTAAACTAAAGCCCACTGTCTATGAAAGGTCCATTCGCCTTTAGTCTACAGGTTCTGTTCAGGAGGTCTGTTTTGAGTCCAAATCTTTTATCAGACACAAGTTTTGCAAATATTTTTCTCCCAGTTTGTGGCTTATCTTTTGATTTCCTGAATAAGGTCTTTCAGAATAGACATCTTTAATTTTTAAAGTCCACAATATTTTTTGTGGACTGACTTTTTGTGTGCTAAACCCAAGATCATGTAGATTTTCTGTGTTTATGCCAATAAATTAATTGTTCCTTGACCATTTTGGAGAAGTTTTGGGATCCTTGGCTCTGTTTCAGTTTGAATTTCCACACTTTAATGGACCTAGTAGAACAGCCCTCAGGGGTGCGGGGTCCCCACCACGCTGTGAGGGCAGCTCGGCCTGCACTTGTTTAGCGGCTGGCGGGGAATGCAGAGCTCCCCTCCCTGACCTGCTGGGGCGTTGCACCTTCTGCCCACGCACCTGGCTCTCTCGGGCAGTGGACAGAAGCCTGGTCTCCTTCGTACCTGCTGGGGCTTTGGCTTCTGGAACACTTGTGGCTGAGTCCATGCTGAAAGCCTGGGACCTTTGGGATAACATGGAGTCAAGTCCACGCTAATGGGAGTCTGATCTCCTCAGGACCCGCTGGGACTTCAGCTTTGGGACATTGTGGGGTTCAGTTCATGGTGACAGGAGCCTGGCCCTTCAGGACGTGCTGGGGCTTCGGCTTTGGGACATTGTGAGGTTCAGTTCAGGCTGACAGAACTCTGGTTTCCTCAGGACTCATTGGGGGATTCAGCTTTGGGATATTGTAGGGTTCACTTCAGGCTGATGGGAGTCTGGTCTCCTCAGGACCCATTGGGGTTTCAGCTTTGGGACATTGTGGGGTTCAGTTCAGGCTGATGGGAATCTGGTCTCCTCAGGACTTGCAGAGAGGAGATGCCATTGAAAGAGAAGGTGAGGAAATTGGGTAGAGAGTTTCTGTGTGTGGCTGATGCTGAGTATGTCTGTCTTCAGAGGACTCAGGACTGGAAAAGTTTGATGTGGGAAGTTGTGGGGTTTTAGTCAGTTTTTGTGCATGGTATGGGATGCTGTCCAGTGTTGTGTGCGGTGTCCGTTTTCCCCAGCATGGTTTATTGAGAGGACTGGCCTTTTCCCAGTGTATTTACTTAGGTCCTTTCTTGTGAACTGACTGACCATGGGCCTGTAGGTTTATTTTTGGGCTCTCATCTCTGCCTGTTTCTGTGTCAATTCCACACGCCTTGTGGTGCCATTAGCTGCTTAATGTGGGTTGAAGTCAGGGAGGGAGAGGCCACCAGCCTCTTCTCATTTCTCAGGGTCACTTTGGCTCTTCTGGGTCCTTTGTGGCTCCATGCAGATGTTAAGATTGTTGCTGTGGAAAATGGCACTGAAATGCTGGTAGTGAGTGCATGTGTGTGTGGCTTTGGGTGGAGCAGATATTTTGGCAATATTCTCACTCGTGAGCATGGGACGTCTCGCCGTTTCCTTGTGTCTGTTCCGTTTCTTTATCAATGTCTTAGCGTTTTCAGTGTGCGGCCCTTTTAAGTCCCTGGTTAACTTTATACCTAGTGTTTTGGCGGGTACAATTGTAAACGGAAGTGGATTTTTTTAGTTTCTCTTTCTGATACGTCATTATTAGTGCAGAGAATCACAAATGATCCTGCAGTTTTATTGAACTCATTTTTTAGTTCTGGCATTTTTTGGTGGTATTATGTGGAAAGCTAGAATTCAGAAATCCCACGGTTTCAGCTACATCAGGGTCATCCACAGCACCCAGGACATGGCTACTAATATACTCTTCCCACAGTGCCTTTTTATTACTGTTTGGGCTTCTCCAAGGGCAATTAGCATCACCACTTTGGGTGAATTTGAATTGGGTAAGTCAGTCTTGGCCTCTGTTAGCAGTGTTTGATGTCATCTCTGATTTTCTGGCATGTTCCTGACATGGTTGTATTGAAAAGTAATTTATTTTCTAGTCAGTTTCAAATATTTAAATTTTAAATAACAGTACAAAGTTTGCTACATTCATACCAGCTACTACAGTGTCTTTTACCCAAAACAGGGCCTCTCTCCCAGCACATAACTCCAAAATGAGGGATAATTATGCTTTCCACGTTGCAATCCTATCCACAAGACCACTTCAACTTTCGCCAGGTGCCCCAACTTTGTGCAAAGGTCTTTCTCCATTCTAATGCAATTTTCTTTTTCTGGAACCATCCCTGGGGTTTTCCCTCATGTTAAAAGTCTTCATGGGTTTAAAGTATATAAGATGAATATGATCTGGGTGGCTTTTTCTGTATGGCTTTTTTCACTAAGGATAATTTCTGTTTTCCCTTGTAACATATATCAGTAGCATTTCATTGTGATTAAGACATATAGCATTTATCATTTGAATCATATTAAGTATACATTTCTATACCATTAATTACATTCACATTGTTGTAAAAATATTGTTGCCATTCATCTCCAGAATCTTCATTTTCCTGAAGTGAAACTGTAACCATTAAACAAACAAACACCACCCTCAACCCCTGGCAACCTTATTCTACTTTGTGTTTGAATTTGGCTTATCTGGATGTCTCATACTAGTGGAATGATAACCTTTGTCCTTTTGTGTCTGGTTTGTTTCAGTTAGGATATTGACTTCAGGTTTATCCACATTGTAGCCTGTGTGAGAATTACTTTAAAGGTTGAATTGTATTCCATTTTGTATATACTACATTATGTTTATCCATTCATCTGCTGAAGGACACTTGTTTTGATCCCACCTTTTGGCTGCTGTGAATATGGGGTACAAATACCTGTTCTAGTCCTTGCTTTTAAATATTTGTGGGTATAGCCTGGAGTGGAATTGAGGGATTCTCCCATCCAAGTACTAACCAGGCCAGACCCTGCTTAGCTTAAGGGGTCAGTCGAGATCAGGCGTGATCAGGGAGGCATGGCCGTAGGCAAATCCAGGAGTTCTATGTTAATTTTATGTTTTAGTGTTTGAGGACCCCAGCTACTGATTTCTACAGATACTGCTCCATTTTATTATTTTCCTTTATATGGTAAAATAGCATGTCTTATGTATCTACCCTCCTTTCCTTATCCAATAACCCAATGATGGACATTTTAGTTATTTTTTCAGAGGGTCTTTGAGAACAGTGCTGCTGTGAATATTGGTATACAACTTTTATTTCAACACTTATTTAAAATTCTTTGGGTATGTTTGTAAGAGTGGACTTTTTGAAACTGATGATAACTGCATTTTTATATTTTTGATAAGATGCCAAAGTTTTGCATAAGTAGATTGTGCCATATCACATTTCAACAACTAACATTTAAAAGTTCCAGTTTCTATACATTGTTGCCAAAAATTATCTTCATTTATTTTTAATATAACAATTTTAAAATATGTGAAGGTTGTGGTTTTAAGTTCCATACCTATGGAGACTTGTTATAGTCAGGTCTGAGAGACGAGCAGAATCGGGTCAGAATGAGGACCAGAGCTGGGAATCAGTGAGGAACAGAGCCGAACCTCAGTGAGGAGCAGAGCGAGGCCATACAGGTGAGTGGAGCAGGGCCTCAGTGAGGAACAGCCGGGCCTCTCTGGGGAGCAGAGACTTGCCTCAGAGAAGCAGAGTCAGGCCTCAAGGAGGAGAGCGGAACCTCAGTGAGAAGCAAGCCTGCCCTCTGTGAGGCCCAGAGCCTCAGTGCTGAGTGAGGTGGGTCCCAGTGAGGAGCGGATAAGAGC